AGGGCAACAGCCCCGACGCTGCGGTTGTGGGTTCGACTCCCACCCCGTCTGCTGCAGGTCTCCTCTCCTCACTGGCCTGTCTACACGTCACTGCTCTGTCAATGAAGGCAACAAACCCGTTAAAGAAAATGATTAAGAGACGTCCAGCTGATTCTCCTGAAGCTCTTTCGATTCACACATGAGTTTATTTATCACCTGAGAAAACGAATGAGGTTTTACTTTAAACATTATTCAGGAGTTCCTGAGTGAATGATGAGAGGAACATGAGCGTGTTTTCTCCGATCAGACTGTCGGGTTCAGCCTGCACAGCTCTAACGGGACAGAAGCAGATGAGCAGCCTCCTACCAGAGCCCTCTTCTTCATGCACTCCATCACCATGAGGAAGAGCTGCTGCGCCTGGCTGCGGCTGTAGTTGAAGGTCTTCTGGATGGTGACCAGCAGCTGGTCTTTGATGTTGTCGCTCACCAGCCTGAGGAGGATCAACAGGATGGACATCAATGTGAGCGATGCAGCAGAAGCAGCTAACAAACAAAGCACACATTTGCAGCGTGAGGCTCTCGGTCGCCTCCTGGAGGAACTCTGAGGGTTTCAGAGTTCTGCTGTAGCTGTCTGAGGAGGGCGTGAGAATAAAATGAACTCAAACATTCCAGATTAAAATGATGAAAATCAACAAATTGGAGTCAGAATACTTAAAGATTAAATCTGTTATATCATCAGATTAAAGTCTGATTTTTTTTAGATTAAAGCTTTAATGTTTTATAATTTAAGCTGTAATATTTTCAGGTTACAATAAAAATGATTAAAGTGAAATGGACAACATGAGTAAAGTGAACGACACGTCCATGTGTTCACAGCTGGTCCTGCAGTCTGTAGAGCAGCTCTGAGTCACATCACTGAAGCTCTAATGGGCTGAACCAGCTCTCAGCAGCAGCTTCGTTTCTATGTGGAGCAGCTCAGCAGGTCCTCTGAAGAACAACCACAGAGATTAGAGCCAACATTCAGCCTCCAAAGTAGAACCTCAAAGAACCAAAGAGAATCCAGCTGTGATGAGTGAAACTAAACCGGGTCCAGCTGTGGTTACCAATCAGTCCAACTGCATCAACATGGTTCTACAATGAGCTTTGAACAGCAGAACTTTTTCTGTTTTGGGCCTATGGACTGTGTCTATCTATTACCCCTTTTCCACCGAGCTGGTTCCAGGTCTAGTTCAGAACCAGAGCCTGACTCAGCACCAGTTCTTTGTGTTTCCACCGCCTAAGCACCGGCTCCAGGTTCTCAGAACTGGAGCTTAGCAAGAACCAACTCTTTGCTGGTCCAGAGCTCAGCACCAGTACGTCAGGGGCTGGGGGCGGGGCTATCGGGACCACCGGGACCGATGGATGGGACACACAAGAGGTGATTTGTGTCGTTTTTCACCAGGACGTCTCTGGTCCGATCACAGACGTACAGAATGAGTCCAGGGACACACAGAAGTTCTGCACAAACTGTTGCACTGAAGTCCGGTCCAACTGTGTCCCAGCAGCAGCACCACAGTGGTGGAGAACAGGACTGTTATGACGTCGGTGTGCTGCGGTATTTAGCTTAGAAATGAGGTGTTCTCCTGAAGACCGGAGCTACACGCTGTTTATTCTGCTCATAGAAAAGACTGCATGAGAACAAATAGTTTAATCTCAGACAGATGTGACACCAGAACCTCCTGGTTCACTCTGTTAAAGTCATCTCTGGTCTCACACCGGTCTGAGCACCGCGGCCACCAGCAGCAGCTAGCGCAGCCTGCTATGTGGGGCGTTCAGGGAACGTCGTAAACTGTAGCGTCTATGGATAAGAACATGTTCAGCAGGTCAGATGTTTCTCCTGTGACCAGGTGGGAAGTGAGACCAGATGAGAAAGTGGGTCACACCGGTAACAAAGCCAGTCTGGACTCCTGTGTGGACTTCTGTGTGACGCCAGCGCTGTTCGGTAAACGGCTCCGTATGCAGTGACGTACGGTTCTGTCTGGGCTCCTGGCTGATGGAGAAGCAAGATTAGATTGGAACCAACTAAACACTGGAGCTAGCACCTGGTTCTTCTTGGTGGAAAAGGGGTATCTGTCTGCATCATGGCTCCACATGGAGAAGACCTGAACAGAGGAGGAGAAACATCTGACTGAGAGACTGGACAAAGATGGAGAAGGATCCAGAAGATCAGTGAGCAGCTAGAACCCAGTGCAGCCCAGTGTGAGCAGGAACCAGGAGGTCCAGAAGGAGCCACAGCAGCACTGATCAGGGCTGC